CAAACACGTTTATTAATCAAAATGTGCTATGCTTAGTCACTCAGTCATATCCGACTCTGCGACCCCATGGACTGTAGCCTTCCAGGCTCCTCTGTCCATGGGGATTCTCCAGGCAAGAATACTGGAGAGGGTTGCTATGCCCTCCTCCAGGGGATCTTCCCAACCCAGGGATCAAACCCAGGTCTCCCGCATTGCAGGCAGTTTCTTTACTGCCTGAGCCACCAGGGAAGCCCAGAATAGTCAACACATTACAGTCCATTAAAGTCAACACATTTTTGCCAATGAGAAATAAGTCTGTTTATTCTTGTAGCATAAAAATCCATACTTCGGGATTCAATGAACTCTTGGAAAGCATTTCTGCCTCCTGCTGGTTGTGGAAGCATTTCCCCTGCATAAAGTTGTCAAGATGCTTGATGGTAGTCCATTGGTGAAAGGTCAGGTGGATATCGCAGATGAGGCAAAACTTCATAGCCCAATTCATTCAACTTTTGAAATGTTGGTTGTATGATGTGTGGTTGGGCATTGTCATGGAGAAGAATTGGGCCCTTTCTGTTGATCAGTGCCAGCTACAGGCATTGTAATTTTCAGCGCATCTCATCTGTTTGCTGAGCGTACTTCTCTGATGTAATGTTTTCACCAGGATTCAGGAAGCTATAGTGGATCAGACGGACAACAGACCACCAAACAGTGACCAGGACCTTTTTTCTTGGTACAACTTTGTCTTTGGGTATAAGTTTGAAGAAGCTTTGGGTCTTCCTCTCAGTGCAGCTGCTGAGCTGGTCATTGCCAGTTGTCACATAAATCCTTTTTGTTGCACGTCACAATCCAAGTGAGAAGCGGTTCGTTGTTGCTCAGCACAAGAGAAGACGACACTTCAAAACGATGATTTTAAGGGTTTGTTTGGTGTTTCAGTGGTAAAGAGTCCACCTACCAACCAAAACAGTGACTTTTCTGATTGTGATCAGCTCATGAGGCACCCACTTATCGAGCTTTCTCACCTTTCCAATTTGCTTCAAATGCCGAATGACTGTAGAATGGTCAACATTGAGTTCTTCGGCAACTTCTTGTGTAGTTGTAAGAGGATCAGCTTTGATGATGGCTGTCATCTTCCAATGGCTGGCCTCCACTCTCCTCATCTTCAAGGCCCTCGTCTCCTTTGCAAAACTTCTTGAACCACCACTGCACTGTACATTCATTAGCAGTTCCTGGGCCATGCATTGTTGATATTGCGAGTTGTCTCTGCTGCTTTATGACCCATTTTGAACTTGAATAAGAAAATCACTTGAATTTTCTTTGTGTCTAACATCATTTCCCTAGTCTAAAATAAATATAAAATAAACAGCAGTAATAAGACATTAGCCAAAAAAAAAAGAAATATGCATTAAAATTATGTACAAGATAACCACATTTATTTAAGGATGTATGCCAATATCAAACAGCAAAGTTCAACAGTGCAAAACCACAGTTACATTCACACCAATCTAATAAATATCCATCATCACCAGGAGCTGAGCAGAATTTCAGTTTTTATTGCTATTCCTATTCCACTCACAGGTTTCAGTCATATTTTCTGTTGTCAAAGGATAGCTTTTTAGCCCTTGTGGTGAAATTGTCAGTATTTTTTTAAAATCCTGTAAAGAAAACACAAGGACATTTAAAGACATACCATGTTGATGAATTGCAAGATTCAACCTAGTGAAGGTGTCGCATCTCCTCACATTGATCTATAGATTTAAAACAATTCCAGTCAAAACTCCAGCAGGATTTTCTGGTAGATACAGACAAGCTGATTCTAAAATTTGTAGGGAAAGGTAAAGCAACTAGAATAGCCAAAACAATTCTGAAAAAGATTAAAGTTAGAGGCATCACACTAACCAATTTTATAATGTAGGTTTTAAATATAGACTTAAAGTTATAGTAATCAAGATCATTGAGTTGGTCGAGGGATAGACACATAGATCAACACAGTAGAACAGAGTCCAGAAATAGACACATAAAGGATGGCCAGTTAATTTCTGACAAAGATGCAAAGGTAATTCTGTGGAGAAAGAATAATCTTTTCAACAATTAGTATTGGAAAAAGTGGGCATCCATTTGCAAAAGAAAAATTGACCGAAATCTCCTGCCTTATATAGAAATTAACTCAAAATGGATTACAGGTCTAAATGTAACCCAATAATACTTATAGAAGAAAACAGAAGATCTCTTGACCTGGGACTGGGCAGAGAGTTCTTAGATAGGACATCAAAAGTATAAACCATGTAAGAAAAAAATGATTAAATGAATTTCAGTAAAGCTAAAAACTTGCTTTTCAAAAGACACTAGTAAGTGAATGAAATAGCAGGCTACAGACTGGGGGAAATATTTGCAAATCCCATATGCAAGAAATGACTTTTATCCAAAATATGTAAAGAACTCTCAAAATTTAGCAGTTAAGAAAACAGCTCAATTAAAACATGGGCATGAGACTTAAACAGATACAGATACTTCACCAAGGAAGAAATGTGGACGACGAAAAAGGCACATGAAAAGATGTTCACCATCATTGTTAGCCATTAGGAGATGCAAATTGAAGGTGTGATGAGATGTAAGTACACACTGCTTAGAATGCCTAAATTAAAGAAAGAAAAAAAATACCATGTAGTGGTGAGGATGTGGAGCAGCCGGAACTCTTGTGCATTACCTGTGGGATGCAAATAGTACACTGCTTTGGAAAACAATTTGACAGTTTCTTACAAAGTTAAACAGTAGTCTCACTCTTAGGTATTTACCCCAGCAATATGAAGACTTACGTTCACACAGAAACTGCCTGTGAGTGTTTATAATAGCTCTCTTCATAATTGCCCCAAACTGGAAACAGCCCAGATGCCCTTCAGGGGATAAATGGATAAACTCTACTACATGCGTGTGATGGGATACTGCTCTACAATAAAAGGGACCAACTGTTGATGCAGGCACCAACTTGGGTAAATCTCAAAGGCATAATGCTGAGCGAGAGAAGCCAGCGTCAGAAGGTTGTGCACTTAAAAGACGTGGAATACAGTGGTGGTGGCCTGGGGCTGGAGGAGGGGGAGAATGGAGAGTTTTGTTTGATGGGTATAGAGTTTCACAAGATGGAAAGAGTTATGGGGATGGATGGTGGTGATGCTGCACAACATTGGGAATTTATTTAATAGCAGTAAGATGCACATTTACAAATGGTTACAATGATAAACCTTATCTTCTATGTGTTAACCACAGTGAACAAGGGAGAAGGTTATGTACCACGTGAGTTCATTTATGGCATTCTTGAAAAGACTGCATAGTGATGGGGCATAGGTCAGTGGTTGCCAGGAGTTAGTGGAGGGTGTGGCTTCAAAGGGGCACCTGGGGGGCATGTTTGGGGTTGCTGGGCTGTTCTTTGTCTCAGTTGTGGCTGTTTTGTGTCTCCGTTTGTTACACAAATCTCTACAAGTGTTAAAATTCATAGACCTACCCACCAGAAAGGCAATGTTACTATAGGCTAATTTAAAAATAAAAACTAACTCCCACAGCCTGCTGAAGTTGCTACATGGTGCAAAGCATACAACTAAAAATGCTGAAATAAATGCAGCATAGAAGCAATTAAAATGGGGAAGAAAAAAGCCATAAAGTCCCTCCCTGTCAGTATGTAAATAAACAAAAGATGAAATGTGCCACAAAAGCTAAACCACAGGCGTTTTACATATCTGATTGCAAAAGCCTGCTGAAGTGGTTTTCACATCCTTTTTTGAAGGCTGTGACTGCTGACTTGTAAGAAGTTGTGCACAGTATTCGTGCTTGTTCAATTTTCAGTAAAGGTTTCAATCCAAATTTTACTCTTCTTGAGCTGACGTTGGGTTTTCCCAGCTGTTTTAGTTTGCTGTAGTTCAACATGGTGAGCACGGATGCCTGTGTGAACCAGGCACAGCTCCCCGGTGGGGGCTGGGTGGAGGGGAGGCTTCCAGTGAGACGCCGTGGACCACACCTGGCCTTGTGTCAGAGTCGTTTCCGGGGCTTAGAGAATGCAGGTGTTCAGAGTGTCCCCCAAGGAGACTGAGGAAGTGCAGAGTCTGTTTGAGCTGGCTCTTGGACAGTTCTGTGCATGTTTTAAAGCTCCATCTTGGTTGTACTGAACAGCCTGCTTTGAGACCCATGGGGTAGAATGGGAGTCAGACACAGGCAGTGTTGGGGGGATCAGGTGTAGTAGGGATACACAAGAGGGCTAGCAACCAAGCCTGGGGAAAGATCTTCCTGAAGGAAAACTTCCTGGAGGTGGTGACTCGCTAGCCAGAGTCCCGAAGGACGTGGAAAATTATTAGACAAAGAGGCTGTTCCACACAGGAAGAAAGAGTGAAATGTGGACAGGGCACGCCAAGCACCTGGTCTTAGTAGAGAAGCATGTCGGGGGTGGACACAGATGAGACTGGACCCCAGGGTGAAGCAGGAACCAGGGCTGGAGACCCTAGTACCAGGAAGAGTGACTGAGGCTGAGCTCGTAAGTCAGTTTCTCAAGGTATGGTTCTGGGTGGCTTGAATCAGCCCCCTGGGAAGAGCTGCCTATATTGCAGACAGTCTGGATCAGACACTCTGGGAGGGGCCTGGAAATCTGCAGTTTGAACCAGTGCCCAAGGGACTGCAGTGTGAGGTGGGGACCACCAGGGAGCTCTAAACGAGGAGTTTCTTTCATTTGTGTCTGTGTGTTTGACACGTGCTCCATCCGTAATGGAGCACATTCCTGGAGACCACTGCTGAACCTTGCATTTGGGGACTCAAGTCTTTTTCAGGTTTCTTGGGGACCATTTGTGGATTAGACGGAAACCATGCAAAGCCTTCTGCAGGTGTTTGTTCATACACGCGTCATTGTTTTCCAGGAGGAAGTGGAACTTTCTGGGTGGGGCTCCGGGCCTGCTAGGTTTTTGCTGGGGAAGAAAAAGAAGATGAGGTAGGGTCTGCCCTGGGCAAGAAGGTAACACATCTTGGTGTCCTGGTGCCCTTCCCAGGAGCAGCAGCCCAGCTGGACGGACGACCTGCCGCTCTGCCACCTCTCAGGGGTCGGCTCAGCTTCCAACCGCAGCTACTCCGCTGACGGCAAGGGCACCGAAAGCCATCCGCCAGAGGACAACTGGCTCAAGTTCAGGTGAGGTGCCGCCGCTGCTCTGCTGGGCGGCAGAAGCAGGCTTTCGAGAAAAGCAGTTTGGCAGCTCTTTTGCGTGGGGCTTGACAGTGCAGCGTGGCCCACGGAGGTGGTGTCTGCTGCTGTCCCTTCCGCATCTAGACCTCAGACCAGCCAAGGGCCTGCTCTGGGGGGCAGAGGGCATCCCAGAAGGTCATGGCCAGAGTGGGGACCCAGATGCTCACTTAAAGCCACAGCCGCTGTGTCTTTTGTCTCCCTGGTTGCTTTCCTTATCCCCTCACTCTGGAGCTAGAGTCAGTCTTCCAGGAAGCCCTGGTCTCAGGCCTCTCCTGCCCTGTCTCTCTGCCAGGAGTGAGAACAACTGCTTCCTGTATGGGGTCTTCAACGGCTACGATGGCAACCGGGTGACCAACTTCGTGGCCCAGCGGCTGTCGGCAGAGCTCCTGCTGGGCCAGCTCAACGCTGAGCACACCGAGGCCGATGTGCGGCGGGTGCTGCTGCAGGTACCGGGCTCGGGCAGGCCGACTCTGACTTCCAGGGTTGGCCCAGAGGTCCTCCTGGGGAAGGGCGTTTGGGCGTCACCTTGGACCCAGGGCTGGGGTGGGAGTTGCTGAGCCCTGGTAGAAGCAAGGTGTTTAGGGTGACCCCTTTCCTTCCATGAGGCTCAGATGCTCGGCCTCGGTGATCGCAGCTTCAGGGCCCTGTGCCCCTCACTCCTGGTTGGCTGGTGTCATTTTCCAATTCTGCGTTCCTGCTTGCTGCGGTTCTGGTGTTTCTGCTCCTGGCATCTCCTTTTGGAAGCAAGTCCAGAGGCATTTAATTGTAGATGAGAATGGTGGATTCTGGTGCCTCGAGAACAGCATTCCCAGCTATTTTCCTGCCTTGGCACCCAAACGCCTGATCACCCGGGACCAGTGCCAGGAACTGTCAGCTGCTGCCCCTGGGGAAGGTGGCGGCATGGCCCATGTCAAGGGGTCTTCAGGATGTGGCAGTGACACTAGCTGTCACTGACCTAGACTCACTCTGAGCCAGGGCTGGGTGCTTGGGATGCTCTCAGTCACTCTCAGGGCAGCACTTCCTCTGTGTCATCAATGAGGGTCTGAGACTGGCCAGCAGGCGCAGAGTTGACATTCACCCCCAGGCGGCCTGACTCCAAGCCTGTGCTGTTAGCCTCTCTGCCGTCTCTTGCTTCTCTGGTTGCTCTGCGATGCCGCCCGGAAGGTACCAGCCCCATGGGGCCGTCTTTGTCAGACCTTGCTCTGCAGGAGCAGTGGTGCGTGCGGTGCCCTGTGTGAAGCCCCATCACGTGGTGACCTGCACTTGATATGACTTGTTGCTGTTTATAAGGGGCGTTTCAGCCTCCAGTGACAGTGGTATTTGAACCTGCCTTTGCTTCCCTGTCCCCTACCTCCAGGCTTTTGATGTGGTGGAGAGGAGCTTCCTGGAGTCCATCGATGATGCGTTGGCTGAGAAGGCGAGCCTCCAGTCCCAGCTGCCCGAGGTAATGTCCCCAGCCTGTGCCCCTGGAGAAGCAAGGCCCAGCTTTGCTTGGAGCACACACTCATCTGCCATGTCCCTCCCAAGCCATCAACACAGCTGGGCCAGAGTAGCAGGCATTAGGGGGATAGTTCCTGATGGGATGTGGGTGGGTGATGGTTCTGTCCTCTAAGGACCTTGTTGGCCAGCTGTGAGCAGCTGTGCTCTGAGTCTCTGCTTAGGGTGGGCAGGGGTGTGAGCAAAGCCCCTGTCAGGTTGGTCCTTGGCCCGAATCGGCCCAGGCCTCGTCCCTGGCCTGCTCACGTCCTGCCTTGGCTCCTTCAGGGCTGCCGGGACGACTGAGGTTGTGCCTGGTTGTCTGGAAAGACACCTGTTCTGCCGCTGCGGCCAGCTTCCCTCCCAGCCGGGCCTCGGATGCTCACTCTTTAAGGGAGGGCGGGTGGGTGAGGCAGTCTCCCAGGCCCTGGCCTGCTCTGAACCCCCCATGGTGGCTTCTAGGGTGTCCCTCAGCACCAGCTGCCTCCTCAGTATCAGAAGATCCTCGAAAGACTCAAGGCCTTGGAGAAGGAGGTCTCGGGGGGAGCCATGGCCGTCGTGGCAGTTCTTCTCAACAACAGGCTCTATGTGGCCAATGTCGGTAAGCTGCCTGCCTGTCCCAGGGCCGGGCGGTGGGGGAGAGTCACCTGAGGATCCAGGAGTCCTTTGGGCAGCCAGCCTGCTCCCCAGACACAGAAGACCTGCAGCTCAAGTGTCCTGAGGCCGCTGGGCGTTTCCCATTACTCCACGTGATATCGGTCCCAGCCCAGAGTGTTTGAAGTAGCTGCTAGGAGGCGGGTGTCCTAGCTTTAGCCCCTGCTCTGGCCCTAACTGGCTTGTGGCCGGGGGAGTTGCTTCCCCTCTCTGCTCTACCTCGGTGGCTTCCTCTTCTGGGAGAGGTTGCCGGGCTGTGGAAGACCCACCTGGCGTCCTGTGAAAGGGACCAAGGTGGGCTAGATGCAGGCAGGGTCCCGGGGCTGATGGGGTTTGTAGGCCAAGAAGGGCCATGTGGGAACCCGAGAAGCCGGTGCCCCCCAGGTGGAGGCTGCTGCAGGGGCTCCGGGGAGATCCCACTGACACGGTCCCTCTTCTCTTCCTCCTTCCCTTAAGATTTAATTATGAGGCAAACTCAAAAGTATAAACAGAGAATACTGCCCCTCCCCCAGCCCCAACATCCCTTCCCCGGGCATCTCATTTCATCCATAGCCCTCTGTCCCTGCCTTGTTGTGAAGCAAACCCCGACCCTGTCATGTTGTCTGTAAATATTGCAGTGTGTCTCCTTAGAAAAAAGGTCTCTTATTAAGATCATAATCATCCTTGGTTGACTTTGGGAAAGTTTAAACTAATTACTTAATCTCATCAGCTCTCCCTGACTAGTGACTCCAGTGGTCTGAGCCTATTTTCTTTGCTCTTTTGATGAAGTTCTGTCTGTGAGATGCCTGCCCTTTCTCTCTCTTGTTTTACAATGTGTCCTGTTCTTTGCTGTGCTCTCAGTCTTAGCTCAGCTGCTCAAATTCTGCTGCAGGTACAAACCGTGCACTTCTATGCAAATCCACGGTGGATGGTCTGCAGGTGACACAGCTGAACGTGGACCACACCACAGAAAATGAGGACGAGCTTTTCCGGCTCTCGCAGCTGGGTGAGTGAGGGGGAGCGGTGCGGGCTGAGGGCTCTGGGGGGCGGGGGTCAAACCCGGTGGCTCATTCTGCACCTTCTGGTGGCTCTGTAGAGAGAGGCACAACGTGGAAGAGCTGTGACGTTGGGCTTGGGACCAGCCTGCCTGGGGCTGAATCCCAGCACTGCCACTTGCTCGCTGGTGATTTGGGATCTTACTCAAGTTTTCTGTGCCTCAGTTTCCCCTTCTGTGTAATGAGGATAATAGTAACACTCAGGATGGTGTAAGGGTTGAAAGCGTTATCACATGTGGATTGCTTCCAAGTGTCCCTGGTACTCACTGTTGCTGGTGGAGCCTGAGAGGCCAAGGAAGTCCTGGGACTCCAGCCGCCGCCACAGCCACCCCCTCCCTCCCCTGTGAGCTCAGGCCGCAGAGGGAGCCGGGTTGGCTAGTGCTGGGTCTCGTCTCCCATGGTGGGGGACTCTGAGCTGGATCTCGTCTCCCGTGGGGGAGGGACTCTGAGCTGGGTCTCGTCTCCCGTTGGGGAGGGACTCTGAGCTGGGTCTCGTCTCCCGTGGGGGAGGGACTCTGAGCTGGGTCTCGTCTCCCGTGGGGGAGGGACTCTGAGCCAGGCGTGTTCCGACAGCAGGGGGGCTGGGGACACTGGGGGACTTGGGGTTAGCTGCCTTCCAAGGCTCCCTGCTGTGACCTCACTTCCTGTTCAGTGGGTCCCCATTGCTTTGTTTTTGCAGATATGTCTGTGTCGTCCGCTTTCAGTTCTTTTTTTTTTTTAATTTTTTATTTGTTGGTTTTGGCAGTGCTGGTCCTTGTTTCTGCGTGCGGGCTTTCTCTGGCGGTGGTGAGCAAGGCTGGTCTCTAGCTGTGGCCTGCCCGCCTCTCACTGTGGTGGCTTCTCCTTTAGAGCACAGGCTCTGAGGCCTGCGGGCTCAGTAGTTGTGGCCCTTGGGCTTAGTTGCTCCAAAGCACGTGCTATCTTCCCAGACCAGGGATTGAACCCTCGTCCCCTGCATTGGCAGGCGGATTCTTAACCACTGGACCACCAGGGAAGTCCCTGGGTTCTTCTTTATGAACAAAGCCTGAGTTGTGTTTTTCTCCCTCTGGTAGGTTTGGATGCAGGAAAGATCAAGCAAGTGGGGGTCATCTGTGGGCAGGAGAGCACCAGGCGTATCGGGGATTACAAGGTCAAGTACGGGTACACTGACAGCGACCTTCTCAGGTAAGTGCTGGCCCCGCCGCCCCCCGTTTGTCTGGGAGACCAGAGGCCCAGGGGCAGATAGCGATGGTAGGCTCTGGGGACAAGAGGCAGAGTTGAGGTAGTTCAGAGCCCAAGGAGGTTCTTTCATCCTTCCAGAGAGGTTGGTGTGGGGCAGGCCCTGGACCCAGCAGGCCGGGAGTCGGGATCCTGTAGACCAGGCTGGCAAGGGGTCAGTTAGGGAGCTGGGTCAAAGCCACGGGCAGCATCCAGCGCCACGGGGCCTGGCAGGCCAGAGTTGGCACGAGCTGCCTCGTGTGGCCAGAAACGAGCCGAAGGCTGTTGGTCAGTGCTCTCATGGCTGAGGCCAAGGCGGGGGTGCCGGGTGGATTGTCCCTGCTGGGCGCTGCCCAGTCCTCATAGCAGACAGGAGAGGGTGATAATTGTGAGCCTTCGTCTTAAGCCTGTGCGCGGTTCTTCACATCCATTCTCTTATTCCATCTTCACTCAGACCCTGTGAGGTGGGTGCTGTTTCTGCCCCAAGGATATTTTCATACGAGGAAACTGACACTCAGTCAGTGGGTGGCCTGCTTGGGCTCAAGGCTGACAATGGGCTGAGTCAAGACTTGAACCCAGGGAGCCTGGATTCAGAGCTTGTGTCCTGGACCACAGCAACCCTGTTTGTGAGAACACCGCGCGTGTGTGTGTGTGTGTGTGAGAGAGAGAGAGAAATGCCCGTCTGGTGTCTTAGGGCACATGTGTTGCAGCTCCTACCCTCACAAGGTTTAAATAATCGAGTTTGGAACCTTTTGTCTCTAATTCATGGGGTTATATTTGCTTTATGGGAAGGTACATCGCATTTTAGAACGATTCAAGCAATGCCCAGGATATGGAGTGAAAAGTGGATCTTCCTCCCACCCCAGGCTCAGACTCCTTCCTCAGAAGCTGCTGGTTTCTGTGCACATGAGCGTATACGTGTGTGTGTGTGTGTGGTGGGTGCAGGGAGGGGGCAGGTTTCTTTTTAAAACACCCACAAATACTCGCATTCCATGCCGTGTTGTGCACCTGACTATTTTCAGTATAGGCGTGTGCTCTCCTTTCCCACACACCTGCTGTCTCGGCTACCGCATTCTTGGTACCCGCTACTAGGATTCCAGTGTCAGCTGTCAGCACCCATCTAACCTGCCCCTGCTGATGGACTTTGGGGTGTTTCTAGACTCACTCTTTCAAATCCTATTGCCAGGAACGTCCCCTCATCCTTGCCCTGCGTGCATGTGTTGGAACTTCCTGACATTGACCGGCTCTGATGGGCCATCAGTCCATGGTCCCTTTGCGGCTGGAGTGTATGTGGACCCTAGGTCAGCTTTGGGGAGATGTGGACTTCTTTATGGACAGCAAATATGGAGTGGGGCCAGGCTTGGGCCTTTGACCTTGGCTGTTCTGACCTCAGCTGCCCACTGACTTTCCTGGCCCACTGAGCTTTATTTTAGCAGCTGTCCTCAGAAGACAGGTCTGTTTTCTTGGTTTTGCTCTTTCCTCTATTTCTTTTTCTCTTGTCAGGAGTGTATTTTATTTTACATTCTGGGTGTAGATTCTTCTCACCAGGATAAATGTCCCGGGGCCCATTCCAAGCACAACTCTCCCCTCCGCTCTCTTCCCACAGCGCTGCCAAGTCCAAGCCGATCATCGCGGAGCCTGAAATCCACGGTGCACAACCCCTGGATGGCGTGACGGGCTTCCTGGTGCTGATGTCTGAGGGGCTGTACAAGGCCCTGGAGGCAGCCCACGGGCCTGGGCAGGCCAACCAGGTGAGCTGGGCGTGGGCAGAGTATGACTGACCAGCCCGCAGGGTGGCACGCTCCCCGGGGGCCGCAGTCAGCTTTCCCGCTCAGCTCTAAGGTAATCAGGGACCTAGAGTTCTGATTCTCAAATGCTTTTGCCAGACATCGCTGTGTTCAACGCTGGGAGAAGAAAAAGCCCAGCGTTCCAAGCAAACCCATCCCACCCAAAAGCTTTGCTCTTCCCGGCCTGAAGCAGTGTCAGTCCCCAGGGCCCTGAGTGGAGCCTCAGGGAACAGGGTGAGGGAGGTAAAGGCAGGCATGGCTCTGGAGACTGTTCAGGAAGGGCCTGGCCTGCAGGGGTGCAGCCTGGTACACAGAGAGCCAGACAAGAACTCGTGTGGCCTGCCCAGGTCCCACTCCACTGCCTCTTCCACTTTCCTCTTTGAGCTGTAGGCGATTTATAGTTTGTTCCTCGTTTCTAAGACGAGGATGCTGACTTCTTAACTTTGTGGGGCTGCGGTGAGGGCCGGGCGAGGCAGACATAGGTCCTCAGCCCGTGGGAGATGCTGCTTTTCCCCTCTGCCTCAGAGTGTGTGTGTCTCTGAAGTGGGACTCGAGGCAGCCACTTGAAGGATGATCTTGAAGGGAAGACCTTGGCTGGCGGGGTCGGTCAGGGAAGTTCAGCTGGTGCTGCTCCTTCCATCTGTGATTCTACCCTAATGAGAAATAAGAAGGGTAAGTCTTAGGTGTCTAACTGTCTCTTACCACCAGTGTTCTAGGTTTTTCACCTATTTTATCTCATTCCTTCCAGTTGCCTGATAACTTAGTGTGGGCAAGGGCTCACTGCCATGTCAGATTAGGGAATTTGGGGCTCACAGAGTCCAGGTCTTGTCTGAGGTGACATAGCTGGTCAGTGATGGAGCTGAGCCCATCTCTGCCACCTCCCCGGACCATGCCCGGGTCATTTCCTGTTACCTGCTTCTGCCCTCCTACCTCCAAGAGATTGTGGCCAGCAGTGTGATTTCTTTTTGCTTTTCATTTCTTTAATCTTCACAATAAGATTATGTAGTGTCTTCTTCTGGCTTCTAGAATGCACTGAACACTGGACTTTTCTGGGGACAGGGACCCTGTCTTCATCCTGTATCCTCAGTTTCTGACAAAAATGGCGTAGTATTTCCTATAGTAAGTTTGTTCTAGAAAAGCAAGCTTAATCATAATGACAGTTTATACTGGGCTTTTTAGTAGTCTCCAAAGTGCCCTCACATCCATTTTATCCTCATTGTAATGCAGCGAGGTGGATGTTATTCCCCTATTGTTTTGGTCTGAAAGCCAAAAATCAGAGAAATCACAAGGTCATATCTTCTCTAATGAGAAAGTTCCAGGAGAATTATCCTGTATACCTTGAGAAGCTCAGATCGCAGTCTTGGCTGGTGACCCCTAAGTGTCCTGATTAGATTGTGAAGACTGTGCAGTTGGGGCCTGCAGTCCCTGGGACTGCTCTTTCCTCACCGGGTTGGTGCCCACCCCCGCCCCCAGGAGATCGCTGCTATGATTGACACGGAGTTCGCCAAGCAGACTTCACTCGATGCGGTGGCCCAGGCCGTGGTGGACCGGGTGAAGCGGATCCACAGTGACACCTTCGCCAGTGGCGGGGAGCGTGCCAAGTTCTGTCCAAGGCATGAGGACATGACCCTGCTGGTGCGGAACTTTGGCTACCCACTGGGCGAGATGAGCCAGTCCGCACCCTCCCCAGCCCCAGGTTTGTATCCCCCGTGCACAGGAAGGCATCCCAGGCAGCTGTCCAGGGCTGGAGTCGGGCAGAGTGGCTGAGGCCTTGGGCCTTGCTGCCTTGGGTGGAGTGGAGTTGGGAGGCTTGCCTTTGAGCACTTCCAGGTCGGGTTCTGACTTGAAAGCTCTCTGAGCTGCGCTTGCGTTTCCCTTTCTGTCTGTGAAATCAGGACAGTACCTTCTGCCCTGGCCACCCCCAAAAGACCTGAGCCACGGGAAGCACTTTGCAGCGCCACGGGCCACATCTCTGGGACCATGGCACCCGCTGGCCCAGGGCCTGCTGTGCCCCAGGCACCTCAGCTGCATGTTTCCTTTCATCCTCATTAATGAGCACTTACAGAAGGGACACCGAGGCCCTAGAAGGAAGGGACCTAGGCACAGTTGGGTGTGCTAGAGGTGATTTAATTCTGAATCGAGTTGCTCAGGAAGAGAGGCGACTGCGCTTTTGCCCTCCCTCCCAGTGCTGTGTAGTGTCAAGACCGTCAGATCCTGAGGCTGCGTTTCCTTTTCTTTTTTCAAACAAGCGAGCCCCAGCACTCAGGCCTCCACAGAGAGATTTGTTCTCCCACGGACAGCAGGGTTACTGCAGTATTAGATTGTTGTTGCAACCATATTTTTGTTGGGCCAGCCTCAGCCAGGAGCATTCTTAGCCCTTGGGTTAAAGCGTTGTGGGAGGCCAGGCAGTAACCCTTTCGTTGAGGCAGCGCAGCCCTGGTTTCTCCTCCTGCTTGAGTACCAGCGATGCTTTGCTGCTGAGAGTAGGTCCCCACCTGGCCAGGCCCCTGTCTCTGCCAGATACTCCTTCACCGTCCCAAGGGGCAGAGGGCCGAGCTCAGGGCACTGAACTGGGCCTCCGCCTATCTTCTCAGCCCCCGGCGCAGTCCTATTCCTGCTACCCCAGGGTTCCCCACCAGCCGCACCCCGTGGCCCACCACTCTCTTCCTCCCGCAGCCGCCGGAGGACGCGTGTATCCCGTGTCCGTGCCTTACTCAAGCGCCCAGAGCACCAGCAAGACCAGCGTGACCCTGTCCCTCGTCATGCCCTCCCAGGGCCAGCTGGTCAACGGGGCCCACAGCGCCTCCACCCTGGACGAGGCCACTCCCACCCTCACCAAGTAAGCGCCCACCCCCACCCCCAGCTGCTTTTAGGCAGGCCTGCTTCCCGAGGACAGCCCTCGGTCCCTGGATGGAGTGGCCACAGGCTGCATCCTGTAGGGGCTTGTTCCTCTCGAACTTCCCAACTCCACATCCCTGGGGAGGCCTGCGTAGATCCGGTTCCAGCAGCTCCCCCAAGCTGGGCAGAGTGGGGTGGGGACAGGCAGTTCATGCCAACAGCCTGCTGTTCACTTCTTCCTGCAGGTGCCGCGGGTCAGTTTTCATTTAATAGGAATGTTCTCCTCTTGTTCTTTGCTCCCGGCTTGGAGTGTGTGGTTTGGGAGGCCACCCCATGGCACCCGTGCTGTGGGGCATTGTTTGACCTGTGCTGGCCTGTGGGAGCCGGTGCGCTCTGACTAAAGTGTCCAGTGTTAGCTTTGAAGTGAGGCCTCTAGTTTCAGGCTTGGGGAGAGGTGGCCACAGCTCGGGGGTCTGGAGCCTTGGGGTGTGGCGGGTAGGCCCCTCCTCACTCCGCAGGGCAGACCTGCTAGACAGGTCTGGTGTCCACCCCACCCCCTCCATTCTGGGGAGTGTGTCCCCCTCCACCCGCCACCACAGCCGGGGGTAGGATCTGGTTTCCACATTCCAGCCCCCGCCAGAATAATAGAGATGCCACACCCAGCCCACTCAGGAGCTGGCCAGTTGAAAGGGCCACCAGGAAGGTTTCCCTCTGTCTTGCAGGGAGCCTTTCTGGCTCCCTGCCCGCCTCCCTCCACCACTGCCACTGTGGGCTCAAGCGGCCTGCCAGGCCGCTGAGTGATGGACATCTCCCCACCCCTGCAGAGGAGCTCCCAGCTGTGTCCACAAAGGCGGGGAGTGGTAGCAGTCGTCCCAGACCAGGCTGGGAGACCAGCCGTTCTTCTGTGCCTCCGGCTCCGCAGGGCCCCAAACAGCCTCTTTCTTCCACCCCGCACTGGAGCTTAGTTGGGCCCCCGGAGCTGGCCCAGTGCTGAGTGCTAGGCAGTGCGGGGCGTTTGCAGGACGGTTTGCTGGCAGGTAATTCCCAGACATTACAGGCTCTGAGGGTGGGTGCCTGGGGGGGCCTGGCCCACCCAGCAGTGAGAGGAAGAATGAGTGAGGAGGTTTTCTGGGAGAAGAATCCTGGCCTCCCTGTGGTCAGTGGGGTCTGGAGTCGGATGGATTCAGAGAGGCTGGAATCGATGGCATCCAGCTCAGCACAGCTTGGAGGGCGACATGTTCTGTGTCCAGCACAGTAGCCGCTAGCCACCCATGGTTATTGAGCACTGAAGTGAGTGGTCCGTTTTGCTTAATTCCAGTTAATTTAAATAGCTACTTGTAGCTAGAACTTCACAAATGCCTTTCACTTTTCATCTGCCCTAAAGAACATCTGGCCGGGCTGGCTCTTGTGATGGCCTTTGTCAGAGAGCCCTGTGCCCGGAGGGATTGGCCAGGGCAGGCGCTCTGTGTCCCCAGGCCGGAAACCAAGGCCGGTGACTGACTTGCCCCTGTCCTGCCCACAGCCAGAGCCCGACCCTGACCCTGCAGTCCACCAACACGCACACCCAGAGCAGCAGCTCCAGCTCGGACGGGGGCCTCTTCCGCTCCCGGCCCGCCCACTCCCTCCCACCCGGCGAGGATGGCCGCGTGGAGCCCTATGTGGACTTTGCCGAGTTCTACCGCCTCTGGAGCGTGGACCATGGCGAGCAGAGTGTGGTGACAGCGCCGTAGCCCAGCCACGGAGTGCCGCCCGAGCAGGGGCCTGGGGACGGGGCCCAGCTCCGGGCAGGATGGGCCTTTTCCTGCCGTTTGCCTGTGCCGTGGGGGCCGACAGGGACCCTGTCCTCAGCCTGCGTCGTTCTCACACCCACAGCCTTCAGTGCTGCGGAGAATGTCCTCCGAGTGTGCCAGTGCAAACTGGGCCCCTTGCTACGGCGCCGGCATAGGGGGCTGCCTCAGCCAGGACCATTGTGTTTCTCCGAACACGGGGCACGAGTGCGGCAGCCACAAGCCCACCAAGTGGGGCCTTGCATGCCGCAGGCCCGCAGCCGCTGCTTTCCTGAGGCCACCTCCTCCTGCTCCCACCTGCCCCGGAGGAGCCTGTGGCCACTGCTGGCACCTCCCCCCACTGCCCCGCCACCCAGCTTAGCGGTGGTTCCTGCCTTTCTTCTCCGGCCTCCAGAGTGGAACTCCGGTTGGCGTCTGCACCTTTGAGGCCTATACCTGTCCCTAGGCCCGCCTGGGTTCAGGTGGACTGGGATGACTGCAGAGGGGCGGTCAGGGGGGAAGGACCTGGAAGGAACTGGTCTAACAGGAGCAGTGGTCCTGGAGCCCCACCCCCACCCCGCCCAGAGCTGGGTGGAGGAGAGGTGAGGATATGCCCGGCCTGAGTGGGACAGTGGCTGCTCTTCTCCGGGAGCCGGCGCAGCTCTTTCCCTCCTAGACGCTGGAGCCCCATGTTGGGGAGCCGCTAAGATTGCAATCTTTACCGCTGACTGTGAGTCTCTGTCATCTCCAGGGTAACAAAACAGGCCTTCAGTCAGGCTATGGGGCTTGTTAGAAACAGGGAACAGTGGGAAGTGGTTCCGAAAGGGAAGAGGTCTTGGAGACTAGCTGCTCTGGGTGGCCCAGAACTTTGGAGACACGCACTGTTTCTACAGACTGTTAGGGCAGGATCGGCCAGCTCAGGCCCTGAGTTAGACCATTTTCACGCATGTGGTCTGCCTTCAGTGGGGAGGGGTGCCACCAGGGCTCTCAGCTAGAATTGCCATTTGTGTTTTCAAAAGAGGAAGAAGGCCCAGGTCACACAGTTAGGGGTGGCGTGTAGGCTTAGTTGCTCACTTGAGTCCAACTCTCGAGACCCCCATGGACTGTAGCCCTCCAGGCTCCTCTGTCCATGGTATTTCCCAGGCAAGTGTACTTGCTATGCCCTCCTCCAAGGGATCTTCCCAACCCAGGGATTGAACCCATGTCTCTTGCATCTCCTGCATTGGCAGGCGGATTCTTTACCCTCTGCGCCACCTGGGAAGCCCAGTTGGTGGTGTAGCAGAGCTACATCTTTCTGTCAGTCTCTTGAGGGCCCCTGGATTCTTGCCACCCCCTCCTGCTCCCAGCCTCTTGCCCACAACTCCCCAGACAGCTCACCAGGGACTGGCCAGAGTGTGTGGCCTCAAGTGTGCTTGGAGTGTGAAAAGTCAGAGGCCAGTTCCAAGGTCCCTGTTGGCTCTGTGGTAGGGCAGGGCCCAGTACGGTGCCAGTTTCCATGTGGCGCGGATCTCAGCAGGGAGCCCTTAGCCCACCCAGACTATGAGGCCGTCTCTGTTGTGCAGGTGAGGAGATTTCAGATCAGTCACAGAGGATTGGGAACAAAGGGAATTTTCTTCCAAGAGTGTCTGTGATGCTGTTTGGTCTCTAGAAATAGAATCACTTTTTTACTGCAGTAAAGAAATAATAAAGGGTGGTATTATATGCCGTGGTGTTAAGAGTCTTTCACTCATATCTCGTGTAACTCTCAGAGGCCCCAGGAGGTGGCTGTTGTTGCCTGCCCTGCTCGGCACCTGGAAGCACCAGCTCCCCAGGCCAGGGGTGGCAGAGCCGGGATGCGAACCAGCCTCCTGACTGGACCAGTGCTGCCGTCTCCCAGCCCCAGGGAGAACACTGTGTTACCAGGCCCCCCCCACCAGGTCCTTGCACATCTGGAGAGGCTGACAGGTCTAACTAACCTCACCGGTTAGTACACGTTGAGAGGGCCCCTCAGCTTTGTTTTGATTTTGTCTGCGTGGAAGCTATTCTATGAATACTGGTCCACAAAGAGCCTCTTTCTGCTTTATGGGACTTAAGACCTCATCCCTTTAACACTGTAAAGTCATGTATGATGAAGACTTTGCCTAGTCATTGCATGTAGCAGGTGCTACCGGCCACCTCTCCCAGGAACCTGGACATCGGGCCACAGGTGTGGTTCTTGCCTCTTCTCAGCGAAGCCCAGAGGGAGGCTGTCAGCCAGGCTCCCAAACGTTTCCTCCAACAAGAGCATCTTTCACGATTCTTCTTTCTGGGCCCCCTCCTTTGAAACCAAACAAAGACACAGATCACTGCTAACCCAGACAGGCTTGGCGTGAGCACGCACTTTGTTCCCACACAGAAGTGATGTCAGCCCAGCGCGAAGATGGACGTTTCCATGAGTCTGGGGGGACTCCTCGAGGACAGACAGTATCAGGCAGCCAGTTTTGAGGAGTATTGACACCAGTTCATGGTCTCCATTCCTGCCTCTGTGACCCACCCCCCCCACCTTCAGGCTATCGGACCAGCTGGCTCATTCAGCCCCTGCTTGCCTTGTTCTCCCAAGTCACTCAGTGGGCCAGGGTGGACCTCAGAGCCCCACCCTTTCCTTCGAGGCCAAAGCCCCTGCCTGTTTCCTGCAATTATCTCTTCAGCAAAGCCTTCCTGTTGTCAAGGCAATGCTGAGCTCAAGAACCTTCCATAGCTCCTGCCTGCGCCTCCCGACACCTGGTGTGTTGTGGTCCTTTGCTCACTCTTCTCCTTCGCCCCCTCCAACCTAAACCCTCTTCTTCAGTCATCTCAATAGGCCAGCCCCTGGGCAAGTCAAAGAAACATCAGAGGAGCAAGACTAGGCAATGGGTGAACCGCCTGGGGAAGAGCTTCTAGAACTTTCCTATAGGAAACATCTCTACCTTATAGAAAACTACTCCCACCAGTACCCCCCTCCCCAGAGTTTGGAAGTGTGTAAGCAATTAGATGTCTTATAACTTATTTTGAATATCTAGGTGAGTTAATTACTTATTATCAAGTAAATTGATGCTTCAGGAAGCACTCCACGTCAGACCTGTAGGTTCGGAGGCCTCGGCACGTCACAGGGAGCCCAGCAATTCCCAGGTTGAGGGACCTAGGTGACCCTATAAAACTCTTAACTACTCCGTGCCGGGTGGGAACCTGCAAGGCATTAACTTGTGAGGGAGGCCCTCAGGGTGGCTGCCCCCCACATGCCTGCCAGTGCTGCCAGGCAGGGATGTGTGCCTGAAGGTCCCCTGGGTCCTGTTGTTAGTCCTCACTTTAGAAATGAAGAAATAAAGCACAGATGGGAGTTTGAAGAGTGATCAGGAGACAGAGTTCTGCTCAGGATAAGGACTTTCTGGTAAACTTGTGAGTTGTTGAGTGTCAGAGGGAGCTACCTGCACACACCATAAAGATGGAGGTGTCCATCTTTCTGGTGTGTGAGCCGAGCGGCACCCCTGGCATCTGATGCAGCCGGCAGCGTTGAGCTGTAGGCCCAGCCCGTCACAGACGTGTGGCACTGAAGAAGGCATAGTTGTTAAAAATACAGATTCCTTGGCCCTGCCCTGGACTCACAAATCACCACCTCCAGAGGGAGACCCCTGGGTCTGGAATCCCACAGGACCAGGTACCCCTGCAGTTCTTGACTGAAGTCTGAGCTGCATGGCCTCTGCCTGCTTGCCAGCTCCGGGTGGCCTTCCATGAGTTGGTGCTTCTGTGAGTGATACATCTCCGCTCCTGAGTGGACTTGGATGAGGCCCCAAAGCTCTCTGATCCCTGTCTCAGCTACGAATGAGGGTATACAGCTCAGCTTTTTGTGAAAACGAAGCCCACAACTATCATTTAATGAATTGTAATGATGTTCTAGGCAGGTACCTGACATGACGTCTCACATAATAGTTAACAACCTGGCAAGCAGCAGGTGTCAGTGACCTCACCACAGAGAAAAGGAAATCAAGACTCAGAAAGATAAGCCGGTGCCCAGGATCACGCGGGAGCAGGAATTTGAACCTGAGACTTCTCTACGCCAGGAGGTTTCCTCATGATTTTCAAAGGACCTTCCAGGCCTGAGAGGTGGGATTTGACAGCAGTCCCTCAGCGCGGGTTTAACACATCCTGACTCCCCGGGTTCAGGAGGGAAACTTTCACAAGGACCCTCTGAGATCACAGGTCACACTGGAGTTTTCTCGCCGGGTCTGACTTGTCCTCTGGGATTTGGGGACAGGGGAGGTACCAGGCCTTCCCCAACACTGGGACTTGGCCCTCAACTTCAGACCAGGCAGGAATCGGCTATGGCCCTGTCCTGGCTCGCAGTCTGGGGTTACACCTGTCCAAGATTCGAAGGCTCCTAGAAGATTGGAGGGAGTGGGGTGGCATCTTAGCAGAGAAGTAGCATTCAGCTGGGTAAAGAAGGAAAAGAAGGCAGCTCCAGGTGGCCCTAAAGGCAGGAGCACAGGCCCTGTGTGTGGAGGGCCTGTAGGGTGGCTGCAGTGGGCCTGAGGAGGCTATGGCGGTCAGGCTGTCCTCCCTGGGGAGGAGGCAGTGCACCTTCTAGCAGCGAGTGGGGCTGGGCTGACAGAGCTGGTGGCAGGGGGCTGGGCAGAGAGTCAGGCAGTGGTGGGGGCGGGCAGGGGTGCTGGCTCCAGCCCTCCCTTGAAGGTCTCAACCCTGAGGCCCTGTCTGTGGCACCTAATGAGGTCGGCCCCGCCTCTCAGTGACCAGCAGGGCCTCGGTTCCCTTTAGTGGGATGGCCTGCAGTCGAGGGCCTGGTCCCAGCCTTCCTGAACTTTTTAGCACTCCTGGGGTCTCAGGCCCAGGAAAAAGACTCGAGGAGAGTTCGACAGGTAGGAGGTGATCCTGAGATGGAAGCAGAGGAAGGTCCCCTCACACTGCGCTTTCGTCAGCGCCAAGCCTTCACCCAGCAGTCTCTTCCCACGCGT